CTAACGCTAAACAGACAGCCCTAATATATATGAGCAATATCACACGAGACGTGAGATATGGCTGTATATTGGCACGGCTGTGATTCCGTAGGTAATCGCAGCGTGCCAATATACAGTCAAATCTCAAATCTCCGAGTGTGATTTTGCATTTATACAACAGTTCGACGGCACGAGTGTGTAAATGTATAAGAAAAACAACAACAGAGTCTCTTTAAAAACCTTTTTGTGTAGAACTACTTCCTTCCACCACAGATTCAAATCTCAGTTTGGCAAATTAACAGCTGAACCCAAGCCTCCGTTACTAATTCGAAAATGTCACTTTAGAACTAGTAACGAAGGAACATTGAGTTGCTTTATTGAAAGCTTATTGTATTACTATATTAAAAGCTCTCTGTATTATATGTAGAATATTATGAGAGAGAGATTAACTGAGCGAGTGTGATTACCTGCATCTGATACAGCATTCATTCTTCAGCTCTATCTCATATTCATAATAAAATAAAAGTTTGAATGTCCACTGAGGAAAGCGATATCTGTTGTACTGTTCTTTCATCTGTTAAGGGTGATTTCTGATGACAGCGCTGCTCAGTGCATTTGTTAACGGCGTCTTACAAGCTGTTATTAAAAGTAAAAATAACTTCCGTTTCAGTCTCTTTCAATATAAAAGTATTTTCTGCTGACTCGTAAAAAGTATTTTGTCGCCATCTAATGGTGCGAAGACACACACAGTTTCCCAATACTAAATACTACTATGAATATAAAATAGTATTTACTGAATAAAAAACAACAACAGCCATCATAAAAGATGCTAGACAATTCAGTCAAAAGTACAAAAGCAGCGCTCTAATATACAGCCTTAAAGTTACACAAAATATAACGTGATGATATTTTGCCCTCCGCCAAAACTATTTGCTCTGGAACAAATAATAGATTAATGAGACCAAAGACTGCCCGTGAGATTTACCCAAAATTAATAATATCTCATGTTTAACCACTATAGAGACATCAGAGCCAGCGGCAAATTCCAGAGGATCTGGCCGAGGTGAGGCTGCTCTCGGTGGCCTCATACCCGGTGCCAATATGGGTACCACCAATTCCGGTGCCTCATTTCAATGCCACTTAAATGCCTGAGCGATCGATTGAAATATTTGTCCTGGTTCTCCGAAATGGACGTAAGGCCATTTTTAGCGGGGCTATAGCGATTAGCTCCATAAACTGTACACAAATTCGTGATCGCCTTAGAGTCAGTCCCCTTTAAATTTAATTGGAAAATGGCAGACTTCGTCTCCTCCCTGTCTTTCAGCGCGCTCTTCAATCCGCAGACCGTGGTGACGCAGAGCGAGCGGACTCAAACAGAAACAGAGGACACAAGGTGTGTGTTTATCGATAGATTGTTATAATATCTGTATCTGTGCAGTTCTTTGTCATAAATACAGTTTACAAAAGGTCACGATGGAGCAATCGGTTTCCCATCTACTGTAAAGTTTTCGCTGCGTTCACGCCCCTTACCATACTGTGATGCTGTGTCCCAGTGCAACGAGACAAAACCAATAAAACCCATTTCAAACTAGGCATTTGTTGCATCCAGTGGGGACATAATTACTGATTATAATGACTAATACTGTCGTTTTACACGCTGCTTTGCATCGCGCCACGTAAATATAAAACCATGTCTGTATTTGTGATCGGAGAAACGACAAACAAGCGCTACTCTACACTGCTCAAAACTCGCGTTTGAATCATCAGTGGCAAATCCTTTAAATATGAAAACGTACTTACAGTCTGTGAGTCAGAACAGACGGCATTGTAGGCTACTTTCACAGGTTCAGGAACAGTCCTCCGTAAAATGCGCTGCACACATCTGAATATTTGGTTTGAACTGTTCTGGAACAGTGTTGTAAATACAACTTAACCACTGATTTCTAGTTGAGTCCTGTTTTGGAAGACCAAACTAAGTATTTTCGCTTTCACAACGAAACACAGCGTCTTCACAACATGCCGGCAGCAGCAACAATACTACAGCAAGAATCAGAGTTACGCCTTCTTTCTTTGCGTGAAAATTTGGGCGGTGTAATGTAAATCTTCCCACACAGTGACGTAGACATGTGGGGGCGTGTTTAAACGAGGCATTTTAGGAGGGCGTGGACGAGTCTTAACTTTTATAAAGATTATCTCTTTGGGTTTGAGACTTTAGTCTTTGCAACTTTAGGGATCTTATCTATTCACGAACAGCTTGTAACACTCCCAAAGAGAAAGGAAAACTTGAAATCGCATCATATGACCCCTTTAATGAAGTTGTTGCTCTGCATCATATTTGTCAACAGTCAACTATCCTAAATTTAAGATGATGTACAGTTAACGGTGTTAAAATATTTTAATCACGTTATTTTTTCATAACTAATTACTAACGCTAAACAGACAGCCCTAATATATATGAGCAATATCACACGAGACGTGAGATATGGCTGTATATTGGCACGGCTGTGATTCCGTAGGTAATCGCAGCGTGCCAATATACAGTCAAATCTCAAATCTCCGAGTGTGATTTTGCATTTATACAACAGTTCGACGGCACGAGTGTGTAAATGTATAAGAAAAACAACAACAGAGTCTCTTTAAAAACCTTTTTGTGTAGAACTACTTCCTTCCACCACAGATTCAAATCTCAGTTTGGCAAATTAACAGCTGAACCCAAGCCTCCGTTACTAATTCGAAAATGTCACTTTAGAACTAGTAACGAAGGAACATTGAGTTGCTTTATTGAAAGCTTATTGTATTACTATATTAAAAGCTCTCTGTATTATATGTAGAATATTATGAGAGAGAGATTAACTGAGCGAGTGTGATTACCTGCATCTGATACAGCATTCATTCTTCAGCTCTATCTCATATTCATAATAAAATAAAAGTTTGAATGTCCACTGAGGAAAGCGATATCTGTTGTACTGTTCTTTCATCTGTTAAGGGTGATTTCTGATGACAGCGCTGCTCAGTGCATTTGTTAACGGCGTCTTACAAGCTGTTATTAAAAGTAAAAATAACTTCCGTTTCAGTCTCTTTCAATATAAAAGTATTTTCTGCTGACTCGTAAAAAGTATTTTGTCGCCATCTAATGGTGCGAAGACACACACAGTTTCCCAATACTAAATACTACTATGAATATAAAATAGTATTTACTGAATAAAAAACAACAACAGCCATCATAAAAGATGCTAGACAATTCAGTCAAAAGTACAAAAGCAGCGCTCTAATATACAGCCTTAAAGTTACACAAAATATAACGTGATGATATTTTGCCCTCCGCCAAAACTATTTGCTCTGGAACAAATAATAGATTAATGAGACCAAAGACTGCCCGTGAGATTTACCCAAAATTAATAATATCTCATGTTTAACCACTATAGAGACATCAGAGCCAGCGGCAAATTCCAGAGGATCTGGCCGAGGTGAGGCTGCTCTCGGTGGCCTCATACCCGGTGCCAATATGGGTACCACCAATTCCGGTGCCTCATTTCAATGCCACTTAAATGCCTGAGCGATCGATTGAAATATTTGTCCTGGTTCTCCGAAATGGACGTAAGGCCATTTTTAGCGGGGCTATAGCGATTAGCTCCATAAACTGTACACAAATTCGTGATCGCCTTAGAGTCAGTCCCCTTTAAATTTAATTGGAAAATGGCAGACTTCGTCTCCTCCCTGTCTTTCAGCGCGCTCTTCAATCCGCAGACCGTGGTGACGCAGAGCGAGCGGACTCAAACAGAAACAGAGGACACAAGGTGTGTGTTTATCGATAGATTGTTATAATATCTGTATCTGTGCAGTTCTTTGTCATAAATACAGTTTACAAAAGGTCACGATGGAGCAATCGGTTTCCCATCTACTGTAAAGTTTTCGCTGCGTTCACCCCTCATTACACCACAGCAGTTTCCTCCAGCAAAAATCTAGCCCTTATGTAGGGCTAATGTAATATTTGTAATATTTAAATAAATGTAATATTTAATATAAAACATATTACAGTGCATGTGGCATACCATACAATCATTCACAGAACTGATTAAAGACACTGACAGACAGCACTCAATTCACTCATTTTAACTAAATATCAGAGTGATCGACAGATATACAGTAGAAACATTATGTGTGGTTTTGTATTAAATAATGACTCAGATCATGAAATACATTTATTCGCCTTAGAGTAAGGGAAGCACAACTCTGAAAATGAGAGCATCCGAGGAGCATGTGAATGCTATGTATTTTTATTTTAAATATTTTCAATGTTCTTTAATGTTATCCATCGTTTTTTTGGGGCTCTTTTTTTAAAGTATCAGTTCAGGCACCGTTTAGGCACCGGTACCATTTTAAAAGTATCGATTTGGCACCGGTATCGTAAAAAACCCAATCGATACCCAACCCTATTCATGAGTGCTGAACAGCCGCTGACTCCCTGGAGCTCACTTCTCCGAAAACGTCGAAGCAAATTTTCAAATAGACGTTATCTTTATTAACAAACCGCATATTTGAAGTCTAAACAAATACATTCTCGCCTAAAAAACTCTCAAAACTCCATGACACAAAAACAGTATTACTTTTAAATTTTAGTGGATTTGGGTGTCTGCCATGACACTTGTTGTGAGAAATACGGGAAGCGGAGTGATACAAACGGTGAAAGGGCGTTCCTGTAGCGATAACGGTACAATATCTCACGGTTCTCAACCAATCAGATTTGAGAACCAGAACGAACTGTTGTATAAATAAATATATATATATATTTATTGAAATATTTAAATTGAGTGACCCATCAGCAACCATCGATCGATTCAATCAGCGGCGCAGAACGCAGAAACGCAACATATGCGCTTGTGATCGTTCAGATCGCTTCTCGTCCGTGACAGTGGAGACAATGAGACTATGTGGTGAAAGACGGGACAAAAAACACCAGTTCCTGCCTCATATACCCTGATTAACAACCCAGAGACTGATAATAAGCAAAGAAAGAATACCTTTTCTTTGTCTCTCATGGATCCCTTGCCGAGGATGGACATCTTGGTCAGCGTGTCCTCCTGCAGTCTCTTTAATGAGTTCCCTCGAGGGCCCAGGAGTTTACCCACAAAATTAAACTAATAAAGAGAGAGAGAGAAAGAGAGAAAAAAAGAGTTTTACTTACACTTCATAGTACTGTATTCTAATTACTATTCCCTAATACATAAGTTATGCAAAATGACATTCTAAGTATTTCCTCTGCAAAAGCAGTTAAACATTTATCAAAGCCACACAATGGTATATTAAATACAGCATTTTTCTTGCCCACATCAACCAATTAAACGGCACTGCTTTCATTTTTGCTACCCATGATCCTCTTTTTTATGCATGCTTTAATGATCAAATATTTCACTAAGACACTATACTTGCTTTTTTGTTCAAACTCTGAATTAGTCATTTGAATTTTAAATAAGAAAAAGAGACATCACATATTTTTTTACATAATGGACGGCACTTTTCATAGATTTTTGTTTTTATAGCTAGCTAATTATAGGTAGCTAAACTATTAAAATATGTAAAAATATTTTGCAAAAATATTAGATACAGATGCAAAAGCCTCTAAGTGCTGTTTGAATTTTTCTTCTAAAATTGCCTTTTTTTTTTATCAGGCTCCTATGTTTATGTTCAGTTATGTCACCTTAATGGCAATAAAAATAACCTATTACTTGCCATAAAAGGGAAATTAGTGAATCTACACATAGGAGCCTGATAAAAATGCTAATTTTAGAAGAAAATTTTAAATGGCACTATATATTATATATAATTATTTATTAAGCATTAAGTTATTTTATTAAAAAATGATGCATTTTTAAATTACATTATATACATGTGAATTAATCACAATTAATTGCATATATCAATATTTACTGCAAAAAGATCATTCAGAGACAAAGACGACAGGCAGAAAGTGGCTTAAAAAGTCAATATATTGTTTATTTTATTTCCATATGTCTGAATAGGTCCCAAACCAATTGAATCAAATAGCAACTGTATGCATTCATTATAAAAATAAATAATAGTATTAAATTCACGTGTTACATTTACAGTTCTTATAACCTGCGATGGGACAAAACAGCGTTCCTCTTGACAGAACTGCATCTGTGAAAGACACTTTACTGAATCACAAGAGACTCCAGATCTAAAACACATACTGTTTTGTGTCACATTCGGATGGAAACAGGAGGCAAGGATCAAAGAAACACGAGACAGAAGAAAGAGACAGAAAGGAAGACGAATCGTCCCAGAAAGAAGACAAAAGAAAGAGGAAGCGTATAGGCTGAGGAGGTGAGACGCTTGTTAAAACGCTTCACCTGCGACTGCTGTCCAGGCTTGTTAGCGATCTCACCGCTGAACCCGGCGCGGAAGATCAAACCCTGCCACCCATGAAGACCTCTGAGAAAGCCACAGACACAATCGCAGCACTCAGGTGACACATTCTCAAACTTTCTCAGCTACTTTTTCAAAATAGAAAGGCTTGACTGAACCTGATGGCAAAATCTGAATCCCAGAATTAGCAGACAGAGCAGAGCGGTTCTAGGTTTATTCAACCTTTGTGGCAGGATGAATGCATAATTTGAATATCCAACAGAAATACTATACTATATATACTACATACTATACAGCACTTTTTCTTATAAAATTCACCTGCAGAAATATAAATAGACATGAGACAATTGTTGACAAAGAGTAAGTGTAAGATGTATTTCCTCAGCTCAGATCAGATCTCTTATAAGAATAACGATAAATGTTTAAGTTCATATTGAAATCTCTGACTTATTAATATAAGCTATCTGGGCAAATCTAAGAGCATTTTAAAGTATGGATGCTTGTTTCTGCCACAGGATAAAACAAATTACTAAAGTAATTGTGACGTTTTCCTCACAATTCTAAGAAAAAAAGGGTTACACTTTATTTTAGGGTGTCCTTGTTACAGTGTAATTATACATTTAAGTATTGAGTAATGTTAATTAACTACATGTACATACTATATGATTAGGGTTAGGATTAGGGTTACTTGCATGTAATTATGAATAATTTATTATTATTATTATAGTAATTACATGTAACGTGTAACAAGGACACTTTAAAATAAAGTGTTACCAAAAAAGTCAGAATTGCAGTACATAATTGTGAGATATAAACTCTGAATTTCAAGGTATAAACAATTGTGAACAAAGAATTATTAGAAGTCTGAATTATGAGATATAAACAAACAACTGGGAAACAAAAATGTAAGACTTGTGAGAGAAAAAGTTGCAGTGACTTTATTTTACAAAAACAAAAAAGCAAAAACAAAATTACAAGAAAACAAAAGTCAGAATTGCGACTATATAAATGCAGATTGGTGAGACACCGAAAGCAAGACAAAGTCAGAATTTTGAGTTTATATCTAAAAAAAAACTGATTTGTGAGATATAAAAAAATTCCAAATTGAGAGATATAATTTTGAATTGCAAGGGGAAAAAGTCACAATTACCTTTATTATTATTATTATTATATTATTTTTTTATCCTTCAATATTCAATCATCTTCTTAGCTTCAATATTAAAGAGATAGTTCACCCAAAAATAAATAAATAAAATCTCATGTTGTTCCAAACCTGTATGACTTTCTTTTCTGCGGAACACATTTTGAAGAACGTTGGAAACCAAACATTGTTTTTTTTGTTGTTGTCCATACTATGGAGGTCAATGGAAGCCAAACAGTATAAAACACAACTGAGATCTCTTCAGAAACTAAAAGTCATATTTAGTGGTGTATATTTCCCAATAGGAACATCAGAGAAGGAAGTTCAGCAAAAGATTCCTTTTACTATTAATATAATCTCATTGATCTCCAAAAGCGACAACTGAGATGTTTAAAAGATCTCATTTGTGATTTCTCTTCCCAATGGGAACACACTATGATTTGAGAATGCACTAATCCTGATACTTTGGGACATAATCATCTCAAATACTTTATAGCACTGAGGGTATGCAAATTATTATTGAGCTGATGACTAAGAGGCCATGACCTTTAATTTATCTTTCTATCCATCCATCCATCCATCTATATACAGGTGCATCTCAATAAATTAGAATGTCGTGGAAAAGTTAATTTATTTCAGTAATTCAACTCAAATTGTGAAACTTGTGTATTAAATAAATTGTATGCACACAGACTGAAGTAGTTTAAGTCTTCGGCTCTTTTAATTGTGATGATTTTGGCTCACATTTAACAAAAACCCACCAATTCACTATCTCAACAAATTAGAATACTTCATAAGACCAATAAAAAAAACATTTTTAGTGAATTGTTGGCCTTCTGGAAAGTATGTTCATTTACTGTACGTGTACTCAATTTGGCAAGTTATATTAGTTTTCAAAAAGATCTACCCAGCTTCTTGAAAACATTACTGTCTCACGACAAAAAATGGTGGAAGATAATAACCGTTATCTGATATAAATGCACAAAATGTGTGCGGCTTTAGGAAAATATGTGTAGGCTTATAAGAAAGGCACAGGCAAAATGGGGCAATATCTCAGGCAAAATTTTGATATCCCACCATGACATTCATTATGAATTAATTTTAATTGCAGATTACATCAGGTAATGAGGGCATTTTACAGATCGTTCGCTTGATAGTGTCCTGATGCTGATGCTAAATCACATACGGCATTCACTCCATTTTTCTCAAATGCTTTCAAAAAGATCTCAGAGATCCATGTGTCACTTATTAAATTCGGTTTACTCTTTATGGAAATATCTCTCGCTAATAAAGCTCAGTTTGTTTGGAAAACACAATGAAATGTCTGAGAAGAAAGCCGCATTCTCTGTTTGAGATGAAACAGTCGGCACATGAAGGGCTTTTCTTTTTGGGTCTCGCTAAACAGCCTTTACAAAGAGACTGACCTCACAGGCAGCTGCCAGAGACAGGCACAACGACTGCAGAGACTGCACACACACTGGCTGAGAAAGACATGGAAAACACTTTAATTTAAAGGAATAATAAACATAAAAGAAAATGCTGTCATTATTTTCTCACCCTCATGTCATTCTGAACCCAAATGCTGTTATTTTCTCAAGAGAAAATTAAAGGATTTTTAAAGGGACCTTACACAGGTCTACAAAAACAGTTCAGTCATAACACCATTGAAAAAGTGTTAAAAAAGTAAACCTTGCGACTGTTCTAAAGTCACTCGATAGATTTGTGTGAGAAATGAACCAACATTTAGCCTGTTTTTCACTGAAAATCTTTCCCTCTTTTGCAACTCTCAAAACCGCTACGTCATGTTGTGAATCTGAACCGGACACAAATGAAATTTTACAGCATTGTAAGTCAATAGCCTTTTACTCACACTAATGTTATGGGCAACTTGGAATATATACTTACCATTCAGAAGTTTGGGGTCAGTAAGATTTTTTGTAAAAAAAGGGGAATATATTTATTCCATAAACACAGATTAAAATGATCAAAAGCGGCATTTATAACGGTATTTATAATGCTTATAAAGTGTCCAAACATTGACAACCATAAGAAATGTTTCTTGAGCAGAAATTGTTAAAACAGCATATTAGAATGATTTCTGAAGGATCATGTGACACTGAAGACTGGAGTAATGATGCAAAAAATTCAGCTTTGATCACATGAATCAGAATCAGAATCAGAATGAGCTTTATTGCCAGGTATGTTTACACATACGAGGAATTTGTTTTCGTGACAGAAGCTTCCACAGTGTACAGAATGACAGTGACAGAACAAAAAACACAGATAATAAAAAATAGAACAAGTAAATAAGGAATAAAAATATATAAATTGACAGTTGTATGTGCAGGTATATTACAATAGAAAAAAAAAGTATTTACGTAATGCCGTTTGTCACAGAAACGATACTGACCATGATGAAAAAATCAATCATAATCATGACAAATATTAGAGTAAAATAAGCCAATATTATCTATGCCAGCATCTTGAAATTTACAAGCTGTGTGTGTTTCCCATGGAGAACATCTGATGAAAAGACAATAAATACATAAACTTTGTCAATTTAACAAAGCAAAAAGGCTTATTTCAGAACTGTTTTCATTTTCATTTTCA